CCACCTGCCACCATTCTTGTCACTGAACACAACAGCAACTTGGAATTTTAACATCACAGATTCAGATTCGGTTTCCTTGGTGTGTGTGTGTGTGTGTGTGTGTGTGTGTGTGTGTGTGTGTGTGTGTGTGTGTGTGATGTAGATGATGATGATTTTACTTTTATATAATTTTAAATATAAGAACAAGGTTCCAGGATGGTAGAAGTAGCGTCTACATACCCTATGAGCCCTTCTTTCCTGGATGTATTTTGATGTAGCATTAGAGCTCTGTGTGTCTCACTTTTCTGAATTATTTGATAGCTGGTGTTACATACTTCCTATATACGTGCATACTCTGCTGCATGCTTCCTAGGCACTGAGATATTTTATGATATAATCACAACTACTAAAATCATAAAATTGCATATTATATTTTAGTGGGTTTTCTTTCAAAATGTACTTGATAGTGATTATTTTTTTCATGAATGAAACATCATTTGACACTGAAAGCCCACAACAAGGATACTTTTACATGACAGAGTCTTTGAAATATTCTTCAAAACAGTTGATCTAACACATTGTTACAGGGAAAAATGGAACATTTAACATGAGCATACTCTATTAGATATGATTAATCAGTGGGAGCATCTATGCCAATAATTTTTGAATTGATGGTAAGTTCAATTTTTGGTTCTTCCTTCATTTTCCTTAGGAGATTTATTCTGTTTGCTAAAAATTTTACTAAAATTCACCCTACTTCCTAACCTATTCAGCAGTTAATTGGTTAATTAAAGTAATTGCTGATGCTATTGACATCTTTATTAAAATATAGGAAAGTACAATTTCACATTGCATTCCGAGACATTTCTATTTGTTCATCATGGGTATGAGGTCTATCATTGAAAACTGCATATGCTACCTTAAAAATAAAAGTGTATAATAAAAACCCTTGCTTCTAAACATCTTCAAAGACAGAAATGGTTCTCTCCTTTGAGAAGAATATGTTATATATAACAGTGAGCACAGCAAAAGAGTATGAGGGATTTTGATGATAGGAAGCATATTTTCTATTCTGGTGCATAGAGATGCTTGTTAACAGATCTGGCCTTTGAGATATGTTGTGAAAGGGCTGCGGCATGGCCATCGGTGGCAAAAGATAACAAAGAGCATTTTAAGAGGGGTATTGTTGTGGAATACTATGTTAAGATGTGTTGCATATGCTTTTGCTGGGGAACATTTGTTTCAATGATGCAAAGTTGTGTTGTATTCTTCTACGTTGCATTTGTTTAACTCAGAAGCTGTGCTACTTTGCCTGTCTAAAATACCTGATTGGTTTAATAAAGAGCTAAATGATTGGTAGCTTGGCAGAAAGGAAGGTAGGTGAGGCTGGAAGACAAAATGAATGAAAGGTAGGAGAAATCTGGGTCAAAGAAGAAGAAGAAACCAGGAAAGGAGGATACAACGGCCTAGCCACCCAGCCAGCCATGGAGTAAGAGTGAAATAAAGGTATATAGAAATAGAGAAAAACAAAAACCCAGAGGAAACAGGCAGATGGGATAATTTAAGTTAAGGAAAGCTGACTAGAAATAAGCCAAGCTAAGATTGGACATTTATAAATGATAATAAGATTATGTGGATTTACTTGGAAGCTAGATGAGCCAAAGAACTAAAGAGCAAAAGACTAAAATGACCAACATCAGGGTATTTGGGCAATACTACTATGGTGGTTTGACTAAAAATGGTTTCCATAGGCACGCAGCAAGTGTCACTATTAGGATGTGTCACCTTGTTGGAGTAGATGTTGCATTACTGAAGGAAATATTTCACTAATGAGGGGGAGGAACTTGAGGTTTTAGAAACTCAGGCTATACCTAAGGGTTCACTGTCTCTTCCTACTGCCTAAGGATCCAGATACAGAACACTTAGCTCCTTCTACAGCACCATGTCTGTTTGCATGCGCCACTATGCTTTCCACCATAATGATAATGGACAAAACCATGAACTGTAAGCAAGCCCTAATTAAATGTTTTCCTTCATAAATGTTGATATGGTCATGGTGTGTCTACACAACAATAAAACCCTAACTAAGAGAGAATTCAGTACCACAGATTAGGGTATGGCTATGATAGGTCTGAACATACTTTTGTGTGGAGAACTGTGGATTTTAGGTCTGTGGATTAGAAAAGAAGTTGAATGCATTAATTGAAGCTTAAATGGCCAGACTAGTAGGTGCATGGAAGACAGTGGTGCTGAAGCTAATTGGAACTGGATCAGAAGAGAAGAATATTAATACGTGACCTAGACATTGTTCTTGTGGTATTTTGCTGAAGAGAATGTGGATATTTTCTTCCTCCATTCTAAAAACTTCTTCCTGAGGCTAATTGAATAATTATGGATTAGCAGCCTTGGCAGAGGACATTCACTAACAGCCTAGCATTGATGCATTGATGGTGTTGTTTGTCTATTAACAACCATACTTATGCATACACACACACACACACACACACACACACACACATATATATATATGTATATATATATATATATGTTATGGAATCTCCTCCCATGACTAAGGAAGGATGCTAAGGTCAGACATTTGACAGGGGTGTTCCTATGTATCCTAGAAAACCCATTGCCAGAAACTGTGAAGATGAAGCCTGGATTGTCTTGGAGACCCCAAAATGTTTGATAGGGTAGATTCATGAGGTACCTAACAATGAAAGCTGCTAAAAGAGAACATAACTGCCCACAAGAAAGAAGTATGTTGCAATCAACATACCTCAAAGTAATTGGAGATCTGAAGGGCATTTTCACATCCAACATGGAGATGCAGAGTTTATAATTTTCCTAGGTGTTTTTTTGGTCTTGATTGAGTCAAATATTCTCTTGCTTGGCTCCCTTTCATTCCTTGTGGAATTGCAATGTATATCTTATGTCCTCATGTGTTAGAAGTTTATGATATGCATTAGTCTCAGAAGCAACTTTGAACTTTAGACCTTTAAACAAGTTTGAGCCTATTATAGACTACAGGAAACTTTTGAAGTTAAACTAAATGCATTGTGTATTCTAATATGGTTAAAAGCCTATGGGGGCCAGAGAGTTAAATGTCCCTCCATGAGCTCTTAAGGAGTGGTATTATAAAGTGGTGTAGCCATATTGAAGTAGTTGTGACTTTATTGGAGGAAGTGTGTCACTGGTGGGATGGGGGTAGGTAGTGGGCTTTGAGATTTAGGAAATTCAAGCCAGGAATAGTGGTTCACTTTCTCTTCTTGCTGCCTGGGGGTCCAGATATGGAACTTTGGCTACATGGCTATTATTCTTCCTGTCAAAAAGATAATGGACTAAATCTCTGAACTGTAAGTAGACCAATGGGATGATTCCTTTATACCAATTGCTGTGATCATCATGACTCTTCACAACAATAAAACCACAACTAATACAACTACAAATGCAATATATTTTAAGGCAATTTAAAAACCTGAAGAGTCTTATGAGAAACATAGTTTAAGAAAAAAGAAGAAATAATTTTTGAACAAATTGTGCAATGTTATACATTACTGTCAAGGGCAACTTGGTACAACTCAAAAGGGACAGGAATAAATTATATCTACTTTATTTATTAATTTGGTCGTGTGTTCACAAGATTAAAAGTAAGAATAGGTCACTCTTGTCTCTATTTGATCCTCTTACTTAGGATAAGTACTATTCTTCACCTTACTGTTGGGGAAGTCCTGTGCATTTGTCAATAAAGTACTGTTGAACCAATAGGAAACCTAGATAGGAGGGACTAGGAGTCCAGGAGGATTCTGGGAAGGAGAAACATGAGAGAGTTCGAGATGTAACGCCATGGGGTAGGAGCCCGGAACTATTCTCCGGTAAGAGACATACTTAGATTAACAATTATGGGGTAATTACTTAAGTCAGAGCTAGCCAGTAAGAAACAAGCAAGGCCAACAGCTTCATAATTAATATAGCCTCCTGTGTGTTTATTTGAGACTCATGCGGCTCTGGAACCAGGCTGGCGGGAAGGCTCCTCTCAAGAAAAAGCTTCCCTTAACAGAATGGTTGTCAGGAGTGGGATTGAATTTCCACGTAAAACAACAAAAGCTTTAAAGGAATTTTAGAAACAGAAGAACAGAGATAAGCACAGATTTTGGTAGCAGCATTTTTCTCAGGTGTGCTCTGTTTTGCTAGCCACAAGCCGAGATTCACGTGGCTCGCTTACGGGAGTCTTCCTGACTGGGCATAAAAAGAAAAAAAATCAGCCAGCAAGGTTGTTTTAAGAGACTCTGCTAACGATTAAAAGGGGTGTACATACAGCTGGAAGTGGCAGCTTTTGCTGGAGGTCAGCATGGACTGAGGCGGTAAGCTGCAATCACGCTTACGCCCGCCATCTTGAAAAAAAAAACCGGCAGTTTAAAACAGCCGCGGTTTTACAGATAAGACACGTGGCCAGAAAAACATAAAGATTTACAGTAAAGTCAGACTTGGATGAACAAAACCTCTAAAGGATTACAGTGTGTTTAAAAATATACGTAAGATTGAGAGAGAAAATAAAGAAGCTGGCTGTGGTTGTGCATGCTGGTAGGATTTACTCCAGAGACAGAGGCAGGCAGACTTCCAAAGAGAAACCCTGTCTCAGAGAAAAATAAATAAAAGTAAAATAAATAAAGTACTAATAGATAAATAAATAAGCCACGTAAAGATGGAAAATACACAGAGAGTCTGGATACTGTATACTATTGTGTTTTTCAGTTTTTTGCTTGCTCAGGGAGGAACTGCTACTAAAGTACCCTTGATTATAAATGCTGCTAAATTAATCCAACTTCTATCTTTTGAAAATGCCTTGACATCAAAATTTAAGTATAAGGATATGTTACTTGGGAAAGGAGTTTTAATTTATGTTTCCACAGAACATAAAAACCTGAGGATTCCTTCCAGGCTTCTGTGGTTTGATGAACCAAGACCCCCGGAAGCAGGGGACCAGATGTTTCAACAATTGAGACAGCTAAGATGATGGAGCTTCACAAACCCTAAAAATAAGGACTTAATGGAATCAGTAAGATTGTTCAAACATTTATTCATTTCTATGCACATTTGTAAAAATAATAAAGAAAAAGAAGCCATGAATTTGAGAAGGATTAAGACTTCAGGAAGGGTTGAAAGGAAAGTACATGGGTATTTTAGAGAGAGAAAAGGGAAGAGGAAATGATGTAATTATGTTTTAATTAAAAGGAAAAATTCTACTAAAATCAAGAAAAAAACCGCAAAAGAACATAGCCTATTTTTAGAACATAGCATATTCTCTCACATACCTTTCTTGTTTTTCTTTACTTTTAAGATTTTTTATCTCTTTTCTAATTTTATGTGTATGAAAGTTTTGTCTGTATGTTTGTATTTTCAACATATGTGTACCTGGTGCCTTTGGAAACCATCAGAGAACAGGGTGACTTATATCCTAGAATTTCACTTAGTGATGGTTTGATCCACCATGAGGGTACTGTAAACTAAAACCAGGTCGTCTGCAAAAGCAACAAGTACTCTTAACCACTTCAAAAACTTTACTTATCTCACAGCAATTATTAGTCCAGAAAATGACTCAGAGCCCAAAAGTGTGGGAGATTTTTCAAATGAGGTTACTTCTTCCAAATGATTCCAGCCTATGTCAAGTTGACATAAATCTAGCTGTTGGAATTAACCTCTTTTCAACTTGACAAACACAAATCTATTCTTTTTAAAAGTAACTTTTCAATCTTATTCACCCCAAATATCTAGTGTTAATATCACAGAATAAACATTTCAATTTAAAAATTCAATACTTGTTACAAATCTGTACATTTGAAATGTTGTGTATATTGCTGGACTTGGCAATGCATGGTGTTTTAAACCTAGTACTTGGGAGGCAAAAGTGTTGGGCCTTTATAAATTTGAGGCCATTATTGCCTACATATGCCATAATGGGAAACAAAGTGAGAGTCTGTAGCAAAACCCAAAACAAACTAAACAAGAATGTTCCATCTTTTTAAAATTTTCAGTTTCTTTAAAAGTTCAAAGCCTCTAAATTTCTATAAGTATGCTAAATACTCCAAGGTCTTGTAGCTATGAGCCCCTGAGGAGAAAAATGAAGCATCTTCTTACTTCAAGAGGGATGAACCAGAACACCGTCAAACTCAGATCAAAACATATTCAAGTTCTAACAGTGTAAGGAAGGGGTCAGTGCTTGATATTTGGAACACACTCAAGATCCACTGGGCTCCAAAGGACCTTGGAAGCCATACCTTATTGATCCACACCGTGCATAACCTGTCTCCTAGTCTCATGCTGACTGTTCTCCAACTTCAGTCATTGTTACCATTAATCTCATGGTACGGGCATTTTCAAAATCCTGCAGTATTTGCTGTAACTGGTTGCACCTTCACCTGTAGCCTCTCCTAGTCTCTCTTTAGTGACATAAACACTGTTATTTGGACCAAGCCTCAGCTTATCTTTATGACCACATAATGATTTTAAAACCAGTACCATCTGTGAAACTGCTACACATAACCAAGTTCAGTTGCCAGCATGAGGTAAAATCTAGTCTGCCAATTGAATATATAGCATCTGTGTGTTGACATAGAGGAAACACTTCCTTGAAGATTTCACTTCCTGCTGATGCAAGCTTTTTTTCTACTTTTAGTTAAAAGCAATCTTATTTTACATACCAACCACAGTTTCCTCTCTCTTCTGTACCTCCCAAGTCCCCTACCAAACCCCTATCCCACTCTCCATCCACTGCCCAGGTAGGATGAGGCCTCCCATTGGGGACCATCAAAGTCTGTCACATCATTTGGCACAGGGCTCAGGGACTCCTATGTCTATCTAAGCTGAGAGAGTAACCCTCAATAGGGATACTCTTCCATAGTCTTTGCACTAGGGATAAATACTGTATCTACTGCCAGAGGCCCCATACTCCACTGGCCTCCCTTCTGACACCCATGTTCTGGTGATCTGTTTCAGTCCTATGCTGGTTCCCCAGCTATGAAATTGAGGTCAGTTGTTTCTGTGGGTTTCCCCAGCATGGTCTTGTCTCTTTTGTTCATCACTCCTCCCTCTCTACATCTGGATCCCAGGAGATCAGCTCTGTTTAGTTGTGGATCTCTGCTTATGCTTCTATCAGCTATTGGATGAAGACTCTAGGGTGGCAATTAAGGTTGTCATCAGTTTAATTATAGAGGAAGGGCATTTAAGGTAGTCTTTCCACTATTGCTTAGATTCTTAGGGGGGGTGATCCTTGTTGATCACTGGACATTTCCCTAGTACCAAACTTCTTTTTAAACCTATAATGGCTCCCTCTATTAAGACATCTCTTTTCTTGCTCTCCTTCTCTATTCTTCCATAGGCTCTATCCTCCTGATCCCTCATGATCTCCTCCCCCCTCCTCTTCCTCCTATCTCCTTCCACATCCCCCCATGCTCCTAGTTTAATAAGGAGATCTTGTCCCTTTTCCCTCTCCAGGCAATATGTATGTCTCTCTTAGGGTTTTCCTTGTTTCCTTGCTTCTCTGTGGGTGTGGATTATAGGCTGGTAATCCTTTGTTCTAATGCCAAATATACACATATGAGTGATTACAAACCATGTTTGTCTTTCTGTGTCTGGGTTACCTCACTCAGGATGGTTTCTTCTAGCTCCATGCATTTGCCTTCGAATTTCAAGTTTTCATTGTATTTATGTTTCTTTTTTTTTTCTACCACTGAGTAGTTCTTTATTATGTCAATATAGCACACACATTTTCTTTATTCATTCTTCTGTGGAGGGGCATCTAGGTCTCTTCCAGGTTCTAGCTACTACAAATAAGGCTGCTATGAACATAGTTGAACATATCTCCTTGTGCTGTGAATGTGTATCCTTTAGTTATGTGCCCAAGTGGAATTGCTGGATATAGAGGTAAACAGATTCCCATTTTTCTGAGGAATTGCCATATTTCCAAAGTAGTCACACAAGTTTGCACTACCACTAGTAATGGAGCAGTGTTCCTGTTTCTTGTCACCCTCTCCAGCATTAACTGTCATTGGTATCATTTATTTTAACCATCTGACAGCTGTAAGTTGGTATCTCAGATTAGTTTTGATTGCATTTTCCTGATGGTTAAGGATGTGGAGCAACTTCTTAGGTGCCTTTTAGCCATTTTGGATTCCTCTATTGAGATTTCTTTATTTAGTTCTGTACACCAATTTTTTAATTGGATTTTTGGTATTTTAGTGACTAGCTTCTCCAGTTCATTGTATATTTTGGAAATCAGCCCTCTGTCAATATGTGGTTGGTGAAGATCTTTTCCCATTCTGTGGGCTGCCATTCTGTCTTATTCACTGTATGCTTACATCTTCTCAATCACAGATGATTCTTGAGTCCCATCTGACCAGTTTCAATTGCCACATCAAAGCACAGGTTTCTCTTTAGAGGTCCTGTTCTTACTGAAGAGTTTTCTGTATTTTTCACTCTATACTGTGACTGATTGAATTCCTTATTCCTCAAAAATTTATTTGTGGAAATCTGTTTTCTGGCCCCAATTTCTTGTTTGTGGAACATATGTTTACTACTTGGTAACTTTCTGTAACATGATTTTTATACCAAGTAGTACATATTTCATCTCTTATATAAATAATTTAATTGGTTGGTCACTGCCTAAAAGTGAAACAACAGCAAGTTCACTTTCTTTTATGTGATTGCACTCATGCTATACTATATTTCTTTACAATGATTGCCTAATCAAATGTGGACTGAGTTTCTGTCCTGCCTGGAGCTACAGATGTTTAATCACAAATAAACACACAGAAGCTTATATTAATTTTAACTATTTGGCTAATGGTTCAGGGTTCTTATTGGCTAGCTCTCTCTTAATTATTAACCATTTTTATTAAACTATGTGTAGTTTAATGAATTTGCCATGAGGCTTACTGGTATTTCTCAGACATATTACTTACTCGGTGAACAAATGGCATCTCCCTGGCAACTCAGTCTTGTGTTCCTCTCCCCAGAATTCTCCTGGTCCAGTAGCCCCACCTCTACTTCCTGCTTTATTACATCTTGCCTGTTTATTGGCTGAAACAACTTTACTCACCATCAATAAGAGAAACATATATTTACAGCATACAGAAGCTCATCCCCCATCAATGCAAGGCTACATTTAAAACTGTGAATACTTTGATACAGAAAATTTGCTTTTAAGAAAGCATGAGCATGTGAGCTCAGAGGAAGAGTCACAATATTAGATTTCAAGTAAGATTCATTCTTTTACTATATATAATTTCATTTTTATGAGCATTTAGTTTCACATCACCTCAGAATTATTTGGAAGTTAGGGGTGTTTTTTCTTTATTGCATATTTTGTGAATATTAGCACATATCTTATTTAACTCATCATTTCTGCACTGTCTCCAAGAATATTAGGCATTATTAACTGATTTTCTTTGCTCATAAGAGATAAATTCAAAGCATAGCTTCCACAAACTTCTAAGTCCTAAATTTGAAAACATTAAAAAGCATTTAAGACATGGATCTCCTACATAGGCAATTTCTTCATTTAGGAAGTACTTAGAAATATACAGTCATGGTTTTATTGCTCAAAGATGAATTAACATACTCTAAAATACATATATATTGAATCTAGAATATCGTGTGATAGTATATTAAAAGTCACAAACTATAAGGTTGTAGTTATTGAACACATTATGTGTAGGAACCAAATATTATGTAATTAGTGTCCTTGTAAAAGGCAAATAGACCAGTGAACTTATAAATGCACAAAAAGTCACATGACAACAAACCAAGAAAATTGTTGCCTGAAGTCAAAGCATGAGGCCTTGGGAAATAATCCAGACAAAATGATCTTTTAAAAATATGTATTTTTTATGAAGTCTTATTTTGACACTTTCATGCTGTGTGAAATTAAACAGAATCTGTTGTCTCTCCCTTTCCCACCATTTCACACCCGTGTTCCCTCAAACACTGCCTCTCCCAATTTAACTCTTTCTGTGTTGTGATAGCACATTAAATATAGCTAGTTCTGCCCATATTAGTATAAGTTTCGTATCATTCACTGAAACATAGGAAGGCTAACCATGTAGATGTTTGAATAAAGGTTTTTAATTGGATTTTTGGTATTTTAGTGACTAGCTTCTCCAGTTCTTTGTATATTTTGGAAATCAGCCCTCTGTCAATGTGTGGTTGGTGAAGATCTTTTCCCATTCTGTGGGCTGCCATTCTGTCTTATTGGCTGTATGCTTCCATCTTCTCATAGGTTCACAGATGTGAATGCTTGCTCATTAAGGAGTAATGCTATTGGGAGGCGTGGCCTTGGTGGCTTCGAAATTTCAAGAACAAAAGCCCAGTGAGTGACTCTCTCTCTCAATCTCTCTCTCTCTCTCTCTCTCTCTCTCTCTCTCTCTCTCTCTCTCTCTCTCTCTCTCTCCCTGCTGACTATAGGTCCAGATGTAGAACTCTCAGCTCCTCCAGAACCATGTCTGCCTCATGTCACTATGTTTTCTGGCATATTGATAATGGACTAAAACTCTGAAACTCTAAGCAAGCCTCAATCAAATTCTATCATTTATAGGAGTGGCTGAGGTCATGGAATCTCTGCACCGCAGTAGAATATTGACTCAGGCACTCCATCCTAAAACAGGAAGGGTCTCCACACACCCAGCACCATCCACTGCCAATCACTCTTGAGTAAGACATGGGCATAGATTGCCTACCACAATTATGCTGGGAGTTTTGCTGACTTAGTCTTGTTTAAGCAGGCATATTACTTTAAGTCCACATGAACCATGACCAGGTCATGTCCGGAAGCCAGCATTTTGTAGCTCTCCTCCCTAGCAGCTCTTCCACTGTTTCCACTATGTTTTCTGTGAAGGCCTTTTCATGGTAGTTAATATATGGTGGGGTTAATATATTGAACCCCTTTAGGGCTAAGTATTAAATCTTTTATTCTCAGCTGTTTGGCTAAGGAAGCATCTTTTTATTGACTACTGGTTCTCACAAATAGAAGCTTATTTGACAAAGGTTGAAATCACAAGTGGTAAAAAAAAACCCACATATATTTAAAAAACAATGACAGCATGAACATTGGACAAACTAACAACTAGGGTCTACGAACTCATGGATAAGCTTTCCAAAAACGACGACAGCATTTTAATCTTATATTTCTAGAACCTGAAGCTGTTAAAAATTAAGTTTATGTACGTAAGCTAGCCATTTCGCTATTTTTTTCTAGACAGGGTTTCTCTGTGTAATAGTCCTGAGTGTTCCAGAACTCTTCTTGTACAACAGGCTGACCTCCAACTCACTCAGGTGTTCTTTTCTCTGTCTCCTGTGTGCAGGGATGAAAATTATGTACCACACCTTCCGTTTCTCTATTACTATAGAAACCTCACGTGACTGAAAAAAAACCCTACTCACATGCTATTGTGGACTTCCTGGACAGCAACTAATAGAAGGACTAAGGGGAGTGTGGGCCCAGGGCAACTTGGTACACACATGTTACTAGGCTGTACTGCTGCCATTGTCAGGCTCAGGGGACCAACCAGAAAGTAGGACTGAAGTTTCAGTTTGCCCTGGCACAACCCATGACTCCAGGAAAGACCACAAGCTGGTACTACTTGGGCATCACCCAGGAGCAGACCTAATCGTTGAAAGGAAGTTGCTAATGTCCAACCATTGTAGGAAGGATCACCTGATGTCCCTTAGCTTAAGCACACACTCATCCTATTTCACCAAGACACCCATAGAGAAATGTCAGGCAATCAGGGTCATAAATCCTGAAAATCACCTCACCCTAACTGCTACTATGACAAAAACCCTATTCCACCTGGGCTGGGCATTCTCTGCTCTCATCAGAGAGATAGAGAGTCCAAGTTAGAGCTTATATAAAGGCTTTTTACTGTACATATGGATACCTTGGTTTTTGGGGGACTCCAAAACCTCGGCATTACAGGGAGTATTTGTCTGCACGTGCTTTCAGAAGGATGTACCTGTTATGTAAACAAATCTAGCAAATGTGGGTACACAAAGAGTTTGCTAGAAAATATCTATAAAATACAGAGGATTTGGACTGATCATTGTCTTTTATGGAAATAATGTGCTAGAGTCTATACAGTGCAGCAATAGGAGAGCTAGGGGGTAACAGAACATTTACCTGCTTCTCCCTAAGCCTCTTGAAGCCAGTCCTTTATGACTTCTAATTGACTGGTAAATCTCTGCTCAACTGGAACTTTATATTTTGACCCTTTTTATTAATTCTCTCATTAAATATAAGTGTTATATCACATAGAATTTACACATTCCTACATAGTAAGTTATAATTTTTATATTATTTTAGTTTGAAAAGAAAATACATCTATTGCTGATGCTGAAGCATATTAATTGCTTTCCTACATGTTCAAGGCTGAAGATGGTTATGAAAATCATACAACAGTGATGGTCATCACCCTCCCTAGAAGTAGTATCCACTAAATAAAAACACTTCAAATTTTATGTTACATGCAGTTAAGAATGAATATTTGATAATGCCCCCTTTGTAAAACATTTTCTGAAGTTTTAGTTATCTTTTAACTATTGTGTTAGAAGTTACTCTGATATTTCATATTCGAAGACACTTTCTCTTCAAGAGCTGTTGATTGTACATAATAGAAAAAGAAAATTGCTTAAGCATGAAACACATTCTCGAAAGAGCGTCAAACAGCTTACAATAACATATCACAGGGCTGAACAACCCTAGCAGTCAAAATGACCTACGTAATGTGAAATGTAGCATACCCGTCTGACTGTAATTGTGAGATATTCTCTTTTCTTTTGTCCTCAGTGAGCAGAAAGAGCAGAACAGTCACTCATCATTTCAAGTCTACAATTTCTTTGGCAAATACATTCTATGTCATCAAATTTTCTAAACTTGCAGCTATCCAAGGATGCTTAACCTTGTATAGTTGTCAGTATTTGCATATAGCCTATATATATATGTGGCTGTATGCCAACCTCTATATTACTTGTAATACCTAATAATTATAAATTCCATTTCAATAGTTGCTGAAATATATCTGTAAGAGACTAATCGGGAGGAAAAGTCTTTGCAGGTGCAATAGCAATGTAATTTTATTCCTTTGAGTGTTTTGCATTTGCAGTTGTTGATATGGTAAAATAACAAGCTGTACTTTTAATAACAAAAACAAAGTTATCCCATAATGACACCAGTACATATGGACAAACTACTTTTAGGTTGCTACAGAAGGTACCTCTTGTCCAATGATGTAAAGACATCACACGAATCAAAATTATAGTGATGATATTTATTAAAACAGTGAGAAAAAATTAATAACTTATGCAAAGTGATAACATGTAAAAATAGTCACTCAAGTTGAGAATCACAAACGAAAATAATTTTTGCATTGTGCTTAAGGATATTGTATGCTATCCTGACCACTTGGATACATGAGAAGATGTAATATTCTTAAAGTTTTCATGAAAAAACAAATCCAAAACTTCCACTGGCGTTTCAAGCAATGAAATATACATTCAGAAAACTCTCCTTATATCTACATTAAAATATTTATCAGTAATTGGAGAAAATTGCTTCCAGTTCTACATTCCGCTCAACCACGAAATCTGTGATTTATGTTGTTTTAATGAAAAAATGAACTGGCAAAAAACTATGTAAAATAAACTGAAAAAGTCATGTGTGAATCATTTTAGTGTACTCTGATCTTATATTATGTCATTTTATTTTGGTGCTATTTGTACATTAATAATGCCTGTGAGCTGTGGGAGAATTAATCTTTCTTACCTGTTTTACACTGTCTTTCTTCTCTTAATTTTCTCAATCTCATTTTCATTTACTTTCTAAAGTAGTTGCTAAACAATGACTATATACTATCCAAGTTTAGAATTATGAACTGTATTCTATTAAAGAAATTTTCTTGTATGTTATCACTTTAATCCTTTTAAAATATTCACATTAGGGAATAAGTATGTGAACCACACAATCATATTTTTATTATTACACTAATTCCTTTTACATAATTTTCAAATCGCATGTAGGTCTGAAATGTAAAAATAGTTGTTATTTTTACCGGACTAACTCTGTATCTTAGTAGATTTTCCTATAAGTGGTAGAATTGCAGGATTGCAGCATTTTAAAATGCATTGTTAGGTAAAGTCCTTGTGAACTGGGCCAGATGTGCAGTCTGTGTAAATTTTAAACTTCTATATTTTAAGAATGAAGACATTTGATCGCATATGCTTCTGAATTTATCAGTTTTCTTTGATAGCCACTAAAGCTTTTATTTTTATGTCCTAGTCTGCAAAAAATACACTAGAGGTGAAAATTATTATTCCTGATTCATATGAGATAGTGACACACAGACACACACACACTATTGTTTATCTGCAGTGTGTCAGTGTGTCTATTGAATGTAATGTTCTCTTTGACTGTGATTTTTCAGGTAACATTTTTTACCAAAATTATATAAAATATGAAACTTTCTCTATGTTTTTGTGTATAAAATGTGTGTGAATCTTGTTTGTGTATATATCTTCTGAATAGATTCCCTTCATTTGTTTGTAAGATACAGACCCTATTACAACTGCTTGTTTCTAGAATTCTGTCACTTGCTAGGTGAAGCAACACAATATCTGCCAGTGGAAGGCAGCAAATGTTTTCCCTGACTGTATGTGAAAGAGAAAGGAGAATCCAAACTACTGCTAATGTTTATGAAGCCCCCACTAGAGATGACAGCAACCTCCCTAGCAGAGGAGCATGGTGGTAAGCCTGTACTCACCGAGACCTTTCAAGGTTAGAGAGTATGTTTCACTTGACTGTCATTCTCTTGTACAATATGGCTTACTATCTATTTAAACAAACATCAGTCTTTATATAACATCCTTTGTTTTATCAGTCATAACAGGCAACAATGGTATTATGCTTCCTATGAAAAATTGTATGCATAATTTTGAAAGCAAGGTACCAGAGATGTCAGAACAAAAGATTTTTTCTGACTCTTTTCTCTTAACGTCCAAAAATATTGTCCTTTGTTTTTTAAAACTATTCTGAATAGTAATGTGAGAGAATCCTGTGAAATCCCCCAGTACTATATTCTGTTCATGATAAATACCTACTCTTTACTTTTAAGGATATTTAGACAATTTGGTTAGTCCTGTAGCCTTGAGTTGTGCAGAAAGTTAGCACACTATTTTAATACCCATGCCTCCTCTTTGCCTGTTAGCTATTATTAATCCCTAATGCCTAGAATTGCATAAATTTCGCCTACAAAGGAAGCCCACAGGTCGTTTGTATTTGGAGCACTTTTCTTATATGCACCACAATATATTCTGTTATGTATTACCTCGTCTGAATGCAAAACTGTTTTATATGCAGATTTAAGGTAATGAGCACTCAAGTTTAAAAAATGGCTCTGGTATCCTGTAGCTTCTCAATAATAATATACTCTTACATTCCAACAGAGAAGGATGGATTATGGGTTTTTCAATTTGCATCAGGCATATTAATTGCAGAGTAGGGCTTCCACATAAAATATCAATGTACTGGAACAAACTGTTAATGTACCAGAATATGAACACTTACATTCATTTCTGGAGCTTTAAAAGGAATCATCCTTTTTTTTCTTTTTCCTTTTTTTACTCTTCTATACCTCTGGAGATGGTACTGTGTTTTAGTCAGTTAATGAGAACAATGTAACCACTGTTTCTCAAAAAAATTCCTAATTAGATTAAGTGCAACAGGATTTTTTTGACTCATTTCTTCTGGGTAACAATACAATAAGCTATTAAAAAGAGAAAAAATAGAGGATTTGGGAGAAACTTATTTTAGGTTTCGTTTTAAGAAACATGCCGTGGAATATCAAATTTATGCGACAGTTGGAGGCAGAGAAGAACTCCCCACTTTACTTGCTTTCCATTTCTCAGCTTGAAAGAGGATGCCTAAACTAGTTAAAACTGTAATCAGAAGTTTCATAAGTAATATTTAGCTAAGCTTTTGCATTATAGGTTTAATTGTAGAAAAGAGTGTATTATGGTTATTTGGTTTAGGAATGTACTTAAATTATATATTCTCCAAGAAACATTAAATTGTGACTGTCCATTTTATAATTATGATTGCAATAAATAAATGAATATGTTTTGCATTACTATGTGTCTTATTGCTTTTGGAATTGATATAAATTGTAATATTTTTGTTGCAGTAAATACGGGCCTCATTTGCAAAGTATATTCTCTTTATTTCCTCTAATGATGACTTTTCCTATCATGTAACAAAGAAGCAACTAGAAGAAAAACACATTTAATCAGGGCTTTTTTTAGATTATTTTTTTCTGGAGTCCATACCCAATATAGAAATGATTTTTAATTGTTAAGTATTTATTGACCAAAAGTCTCAACTATGCATTTTAAATTGTGATTATTTTCACACTAGCATTACAATTCACTCTCTTTTTGATGCTTAATCATATCTGACTTTTTTTGTCAGCTACAAGCAGTAGTAGAATGGTAGACCAACTTTTCAAAACTGTTCTGAAAAAGACAGAATTTGAACTTGCATATCACAGGTATAGGCAATGAATTATCTCACCAGGGACAGAAGAAATATTATCCACAAAATGCAACAGGAGACTTGATTCATTTTGTGTCTGGAGTGATCCATGCAATGGCACCTCCTGAAATGAGTTTCCTTTTCAATCTCCAGGTGAAAAAGGAGTGAGAATACCTTGCTTCCACCATCACTGAAAACTTATATTGTGAAAAAAATGTGTGTGTGTGTGTGTGTGAGTGTGTGTGTGTGTGTGTGTGTGGTGTGCTGTGCTTGTGTGGATGCATGCTTCATTTTGCAATAGTTGTTTTGAATACAAAATGTATTATGGGTCAAAAATAAATATTGAGTTTTCTCAGCATGTAAACATAGCTTAATCTATAGCAAAAGTTGTTTGATAAGTGTTGTTTAATTTGGTAAGGGTGGTGTAGAGTTTTCTTAGTTGTATTATGATTGCAGGCAAAGAGCTAAAAACACATACTCTGTGGAAAGAATATGGGCAATGACTGGAATGGAAGCTTGCTCTTCATGTGTTAGATACTAGCAATTTAATCAAGGCTGCAAGCGTGCTAGTCTACTTTGATTTACTTTTTGGAAGTGCATTTTGAATTTCAGGAATTTGATTTTCAGTAAAAAGCCAAATAAATTGTAGCAAGTGTTTTACTTCCGGATGTGTCTTGCAGATGAATGTCTTTTGTCTCCAGATGTTCTTTCCATCCTTGTATGTAATGCTGCACCGTGCAGGACACTGCCTTTTCAAGTCACACACAAAAATAGGAAAGAGCTTCAAGTATCTTCCTTAATTTTACCAAGTAAAATGGTGCAACCTTTACAGAATTTGCCTTTTGAGGGAATCATGTGAGCAAAATTTAATGCTTGAAAGAATGTCATAAATTGATGAAGCAGAAATGTGACTTTTATGAGCATTTTAAATTTAGTAAAAATTCCTAGTGGATATAAAGAACAATTTTAGAAGCAGTGACAGTATTCACCTGCCCCTCCTCCTCCTACATCTACCTTTTATTTGCACACATAAAAGCAGAATACAAATTAATCTCATTTCAAATTGATTCCAACTGCATTCAGGAAACTGCAATGTCCTTTACTTCCTCGTGTCACTTTCCTTTTTTTACTTCAAAAATTGTTGATTTTTGGTTGTAGTTTTATTTTTATTTGCTTATACATTCTTGGGAAGAGAGAAATTTAATCTCTTCAACTTTGTTGGCAAATTACATTGACGAATGCATTCTGACAGGAAGCTTTCCTGAAATGAAAAGGAGTCCTGTGTAAGGGTAGGAATAACTATTCTGAGAGCCTTTTATGGTGCGGTTGCCAGGGAAACCACGGCTTTGTCTGTACGTGTTTGGAATGGCTACCTCCTTAGAACTAGGCTTCCACATAGTCACTCTGTGATGCTGATGAAATGAAAAGAAGCGAACCTATTTTAGGGGATTAACTTCAAATTAAGAAAGATAGCATATTCAGAAGAGAGAAATTTTTAAAGAGTAAACATATAGAATTATAAGGAAATCAAAGTCAGTGTTGATTTGGCCTATTCAGGTGGGGATGACAGGGAGAATTTGTTCATCTTTCCACACCCCCCATTTGCCTATTTGCATGTTCATGGAGGAGTAAGCAAATAGAATAATATTTGTGAGTCCTACCAAATAATCGTGAAGATGAAGGATCCTGATAACTCTACAAATATGCAAGGTTTCCTTCATTGGCAGCCCTGTTGTTTTCTTACAATGACTGTAAATCAAAGCGAACTGCTGGAGCTGTGATAGTATCAGAGCAGTCAAAAGGTATTGACTCTAAGATTAAAAAAAATAAAAACACTGAGAGAAACTATGTTGGAGCAATTTTCATTTTTATCGAAAACAAAGGAATGTCATATTCTAAAATTACAGAAACTAAAACTAACCACAAAGAAGATGACGTGCTTTCATTGTTCTGAATTTAATTTGGGTGTATGTAAATGTCAATGCCATGTTGGTTTGCCAGTATGTGTTAAGATGCATACTGTGGGTGTGTTTGTAGAGCCCATAGGTCACAGTTATGTTCAGGTATCATTCAGCAGGTGCTGTTTATTTTGTTTGGTCATGGACACATTCTCTCATTTGGCCTGGAATTCTCTGATTATATTGGGCTGGCCAGAGAGTCCTGCCTGCCCCCACGTCCCTGGTACTGGGAAATCTAATGCACATAATTCATAGCTTGATAACATGGATTGTGAGGAACATATAGGGGTCCTTGTGCTTCTGTGGCAAGTACTTTGCTAACTGAGTCATTTTTTGTGCCCTAAAA